TACTTTTCTATAAATTTTGTTTCGATCGCAAATGTCATCATATTTCTGCGTCAAATACCATACTTATTTTCCTAACATTAACGAGATAAAATCCAAAAGTAGGTAAATTGTCAAATCAATGGATGAGAGTTTGATTATTTTTAATTATTTATGGCATTGAAAAGTTGAAACAATCTATTTTAAACCTAGGAAACTAACTAGCCAATTCTTACGTCTTCCCTAAAATTCTTTCATAAAAGGTATTGAATTATACTGAATGAAAGCGACCATTTTTCCACTACAAATGGGATGTGTCAGAGTACTTTCAATTATCGTTTTGAAAATAATATCGCTACTTAGAAACACACTTATTTTTTGTTATGTACGGATTTTCTTGTCAGTCGTCATATCTTAATTTGGTCTTCAAATCGATATAAATGTAGTAAACTTCTCATGAAATAATTCATAAGTCATCAATGCGCAAGAGCAAGAGTCGGTACGTATGTGAGTCCAAAACAATACCTGACTAAGTTAGTATTCATAAACACGTGCCATGTAAGGGCATCAACTTTAACAGTTTGATAATACTGGACGGTTTTCAGCTAGCTGTCACTCATTCTCCGTTGACTGACAACCGTCACTCATGCTCATGCGCAGGTTTTGTGCGCCGAAGATAGTTTTTACTCAATTGCGGCAAATCCCAAAAGGGGGAAAGGTTTTTGCTTCACGAGTTTGGAATTAAAAGACGCACTCGATTTTCTAATTATATCTTCATAAGTATTTCTTTTACCGATTACTTATTAACCACCTAAGGTAATAAAATTGCTTTCGTATATTATTTTAATGCAATTTTCTTAGGTTGTTTTTTCACTGTACAGTAAATCCGAAATAAGTAGTAATACACATTTCATTCTATTATTATTGTATTTATTACTGCTCTTTATATTTATTTTTATATTTATATTTAAAACGAGAGGTTTCTCATTACCGTGTCTAGGGTCACAGGTAGTAAACATACAACCGTAACCTTTACAACTTCAAAACGCAATTACCCACGAAAGATTACTAACATCTCTTTCGGCTGTTAACAAAAACCCTTATAAATAAAAACATAAATAGCCATGTGGAGCAATAAATTTGTTTATTGTACAATAAAATAATGTAGCGACTTCGTGTTGGGTGGTCGTCGGCACAAAAAGCCGGGCAAGATGGCGGAACAACCCGTTGCCATAGAGACGCGACGCGTCCCCGCCTGTAACGCCACACACTGCTCCAACAACCTCTTCTAAATTATATTAATGTTCAAACTTCAATCAATTTACCACATCACTATGTCGCTGCTAACTAACATAAAGTACTGCTGCACACTGGCAAACGTACTTAAACTTATCTCATTTTGAATATTATCTCATCTTTACCATTCAAACTTTACGAGATCAATACACGTTTTGTAAACACAAGACTCTTAAATAAAACTTATCTCCCATGTAATTATAATTAATTTGATTCCAATGATTACGGATTAGAAATAAAAATAAACATTAGAGTTGAATGTTATTATGTAATCGTTTGGGTTCATCCGTGTCTAATGCACAATTTTGTCGTGCGGAGCGGCGGTGGGCGCACTGGCGCAGTGGGCGCGCGGCGCGCGGCGACGTGTCTCTCTGACAGAGCGCTCAGTGGAACAATCGAGCCATTGTTTTGTACCAACCACGCATTAATTAAATAATACTTGTCGTTCCGTATAATGACTTAATTTTGTACTTCGACGGAACAACAACTGAGTTTATTAACTCACTTTGTGCTTGGAAATTTAAATGCGCACGAGCGTCCGCTCTTAAAGTTTTCAGCATTATGTCTTATAACTTTACAAGCAATATTTTGTTACAACAGCTATAAAAATACTGTAACTTGTATGTCAAACCTCCATCTTTCTGAGCATAAATGCATAACTACATAAAAGTTTATTACTAGTAAAAGTTTCTATTGCCAATAATTATAGAGCCTGGAGCCGCAGGTTTCGTAATTACGCTTTCCTTGTAGTGTGATTTTATTACGCGAGGAATTGCATTGCGAATTTGACAATAACTTATATTTTGTTATTTCAATGAAAAACTGGAATATAAATATTATATCACGGCGACAGTTACAACATTTATATCATGATAAAATCGGACAAACGTATACATTTAAATCTCTACCAATTTGCATTAAAGATCGCAGAGCATAAATTATTTATAGACTGAAAGAAAAAATTGTCTAAAATTATACAAAGAACAAAGCGACAACGGGAAGGTGAAAAATTTGAAGGAAGATAGGTAAAAAACGAGCGGAAACGGATTCCTGACTAATCGCACAACGAAAATGTCTGTCGAGCTAATGTCTCTACAGGGTGGCGCAGATTGATGGCTCAGCGATTGGGCACGCCCCGGCCCGCTCGCCGCTCGGACGATCGCTTCTCGGTAGCTGGCGGCTGGCGGCTACATTAAACGACACACAGCCTTCGATACGTTACATAGATTTAGCTATAAACTCATCACAGATGTGAGGGCCACTTTCCTGCCATTAACTTGTCTAATATGCTCATTTTGAAGGGTCTCTGCAACATTTTATCGCTCGTCCCATTTTGCTTACACACACATTCGTCGAACTGAGACGATGAGGGTTTCATTGATTTGTCACAAAAGTACAAACTAATCAGACTTCATATTTGCCCAATTATAAATGACATCGAACAACTAAAAATAACATAGTTTCAGTTTTTGTATTCATTTTTTTAAGCGTAAATCTATATTATTACCCTTGGAAAATTTGTCATAGAAAGTGATTACTTCTGAGAACTTATAGGAACACAAATAATTTGTGTGTGTAAACCTTGTTATTCAGTTGTCTATTCTACGGCTTAATCTTTGACATAAGTGTCCGCAACAACAAAATACTGTTTATCTACGGACACGGCGATTACTTGGCGACAGACCCTATTACCGGCAGTACAGCCGATCTACCTGAACTGATGAGCTTACTAAAATATCGCCCAATAACAATGTTATTATCGCCGGGCCATATGCAACCTGTCATTAAGGAAGAGACATCATCATCAGCAATGATCGCTTCCTAGAATGGTTAAGGATGTTTGTCTTTGCGATGTTTAGCCAGTTATTAATGCGCGAACCGTTCTGGGAATACGAGGAAAACGTTCGCTTGCGAAGTAGAAATTTCGTTTGGTAGCGTGAGACATGTATTCATTTGTCATGATGACTACATCTACAGGATAATCGAAACTGGTCAACTGAATGACTAGATATCAGTCAAAGAAACCCATACAACGTTGAGCTATTACGTTTTTATAGTCCTGACAAAAACCGCAAACAAAAAGACATCAACGAACAATCGTTGGTAACGCAGTAACATTTAAACACTATTACATGTACACAGCCATAGCGATCACTGTACTATACGTACGTAGTAGTTTACTATACGTACGTACCTGCCTACGTATAAAACCAACACAACATCATTACCGTAATATATGAGAGTGTGAGTCACAAGGTTCACTTTCCAACATCAATATCTGTTCTACGGGATAGTGCTACGCTGCTACAGACGTACTACGGTCAAACCAATTAAAGGTTTAAGGTTAGAAATAAATTGTAAGTCCGTGACTCACGACATGGTGGTGGTCTCTCAATCGCAAGTCTTCAATACATTAAGACTTCAGGAGTTAATGAGCAAGTTCTAGGAAGGTGTGAAGCGGAGATCGCCGCTGGCGCAGCCCACGTAATGGTAACAATAAATATTGACTGTTTGACCGCACGCCGCCAAAGAGTCGCACGTTTAGGGACGATTCCTGCAATTTGTCAGCTTGTAATTCGCCTTTATTGTGTGCTTCATAAGGAAATTTTCTTTTTATCTGATTTTATTTCGTTATTCCTTTGATGATTGTATGTAGAGATTTGAGTTCTTGTACTAACGAATTGCATCATATTTTTTGCATTACGATTAAACATTTTTGTAGGACAAGTAAGTCTCAATTGATTCGATAGTATTGTAAGTATCATTGACCCTTACGTTGAGATCGTTGTCGTAGCTCGCAGCCTGGGCGGGTGTTAAACCGTGATTAAAAATGCAAACAAATCAATTATTTTACTTAATTACAATACAATTATTAAGATCTGCCGCACGATTTTATTATTTAATAACAAATAAATTACATCTTTGCACCTAATCAATTCAGATAGTGTACAATCAATAAAAAATCTCATAAAATGATATTAAAAATTATTCGCAGTAACTTAGTGGAAACAAGCGCGAACAATATTTCCCATTAAATTATGAAACAGTTTCATGTTCTGTGAGAATTATCAAAGACGTGTATCAGTTTTAAATCGCTAACGGTTTCTGAATTAGAGTTAGAATATATATGTGAACTGCGCAGGCGACGAAATGATCGCGAAATTCGGCAGCGGCCTGAGCACGCGCGACTTGCGGCGCGTCAGGTGTTACACAACCGTGGTCGCATTCATAACAGCAAATTGTACATTTGTTTTAATATATTCTTTCGTTACAATATTTGACTAATTGTAATTTATTTTGATTATAATCATGGTTTTTAAAATGAATACAATAGTATGCCACTACTAGCTAAGCTTGTGCTTACTTCTTTATTTATTTTATACCAATTAATATTTTTCACTTCATCTTAAAAGCTTTCGTGCTGTTGTTATCTGTTAATATATTTGACATTAACGACAATCGTGTACGTACGTCACTTGACTTTTCGTTTTGACCTTAGCTTTGAACTTGGATCATGTGCTTTTGATCGATGCGTTTATGGTACTTATATAAACTTTGGAATAAAATTGAGGGAGAAAAATGACAATGAATAAATAAATCTGTCATGTGTCGTGAAGGATAATACATTTTTTTTTCTATTCTGAAATCTGTATGCTTCCCTATGTGTACCGACTAGTGTAACAGTAGCTGCTACCGATCTTTCTGTCGGGGCAATCTTTAGGAGACAGTCACATGTCAATCAAAGATTCAGATCGATGGTCGTGGTTCGGTAGCCAGCATGCCGTAAGGGGAGCGTGGTAGTAGATGGCGAGTATGCGGGGCGCGGGCCGCGAGTGCGGCGCCCCTGCCACGTGGGTGGGCTCGCTGTGTGGCCGCGCGCTGGGTGGGCCACTACCGCGCGCACGCATCACACACACGCGCGCCGCACCAACACACGCTCCTGACGCGCAAATAAACACAATAATCAACTAGCGATACTTTACTCCGTCACCGGATAGAGCAATCGCTCGGGGAGATTATTGCAAGAATCGCGGCGAGTGACACGCGCCCGCGCCGCCGAGCCCACGGCCGCGCGTCCCGCTGCACTCGCCCGCGTAGGAGGACGCAAACTACCCACTTTACGACGCTCCGAGCTGATCCAAACACGCTAATTTTCTAATCCGCTTACATTCTACGAATAAATTTTCTATTCAAAGACATTGAAGAGTCTGAACCCGTTTAAGGATCGTAAGCCTTCTCCAAATCATAAAGTAAACATTCAAGTTTCGTATCACATTTCAAATCGATGATATGTCAGATTTGTGTGTAAACTAACAATAAAACTCAGTAGACCACCGACATCAACTGGATCGCCAGTATCTATATTGTAAATGGACTAAACAGTTCAAAACATTACGTTTATTGTATACATAGTATGTATAGACATAATTATATTATGTTTACTAATAAATGTAGACAAAAATTAAATCCAAAACTAAACAAAAATTACAAATGTGATGAACTTACATTATTCTCTTATCTTTCCGCTAAATTAAAGGTAATCGGCACAAAAGTTGACGGCTGTTGGCGCACGCGCGAGTACCTTGATTTATAACTTAATATTCAATCGTAAACGTAATCGAGCTCTAGAATAGGCAGTTAAACAGGCCGGTGGCGGCCTCTGTGTAAATTGTGCGTACCAGCGCCTAGTTGTAACTAGAACTCGTTTGCTCTAATGATACAAGTGCCCGTAAAAGGGTTCAATTTAAAATGTAAACGGTTATATCGGTCAATCATTGAAATATATTGTAAACTTGATACACCGAGTAAGATCAAGTTTTTGTCACAAAACTGCATAGAACAATTTTTACCATTTCACCAAAGAAGTGTCACTGGCTCACGATGAATCGAAACTTGACTCGGAGCTTTCTATAACTTTATTTCCTTCCTAATATTATCAGCCTATAAGTGTCCGAGGCTGAGCCAAGTCCTCTTCTCGCACAAAGAAGGTTTAAGCATTAATCACAACGCTTACTCCAATCAAATTTATTACACAGGAATGTAGAATGTAAAAAGGTGCATCACTACGTAAGAAGCGAGTCCCTTTTTATAGAGTTTGCAAGTTATTGATTATCAATGGTGAGATAAAAAATACACTAAGTTATGTTTGATTTAAGAATATATTAAATTCTACAAATGATGGTTTAACTGATTAATACTAAAAGATGATTTGATTTGATTTGTACGAGTAGACCGGCGATTGCGTACTACTATTGAACGTAAAATTCGATGCCTTTTATAAAAGTGTTTGTACGTAAAATGCTGAGCTGTTCGGTTGCGTTGCTCCGAACATATTCCCGACTGCAAGATGAATTGACAGCACAAACTTAATCAAACCATCGAACACAAAACTAAACAATAAAATGCAAAAAATAATAATAAACAAAGACAATAATAAATGTAAAAGAAAACTAGAAACATAAACTACTACTTATCTATTTACTATATAGTAAAATTAGTTACATGTACAGAAATGATAAAAGAATAAATTTCTGTCCATCTTACTTAAACTAAAGAGTCCTCCACAGTCACAACGCGTTCTCTTCGCGGGATAGGTACCGTAGACCTATTCGTATTATTTGTTTTACGCATAGTGCTTGGCCACCGTTTGGCTAGAAATGAACTTAAGTTTGTTTGTTCACTATCACTAAGCTGACGATCAGCTGTACTCTGCTTTCGCGATCTCACTTCACTGTTCACATCACTGATTGTTTTTGGTGTGGTGGCCAGCGACTTCTGTCTCTGGAAAGCTTCCCCACCTGCACGACGAAGGGGCAGCGAGCAATATCTCGTCCATGTCCAGACTGCTGCTCCACCTACTGCCATAGCCAACAGTACGTAGGTTATGGTGTAAAGGTGAATATCATGAGACGAGATATCATCAATATCTGCTTTGCTCGACTTTAGACCTTTAATCTGTTCACCTAGCATGGACAAAGATTTATTCAAGCCTTGCTTCTCTATGATGTCTTCTGGTGATTCTTCGTCTAATGGAACGTTTATCTTTACGATATGGTTTATCTGATCGAGCTCAGGTATTTGAATATTTGGTGCGATTTCTAATTGGTTTATTTGTTTTTGTAAGGAATATAATGCAAAATCCTTGCCCTTGATAAAACACGATTGACTCAAGCTAATGACCCCGGCTCGAGTCAGCTGTTCGACGGAAACTTGATCATCACATATGATTTTTACTGAATAGCTGCTACAGCAAAAGTACAAGTATTGTGACGTAGAGTGTAATTCAAACCATTTGTTTTGGCATACTGATTTTTCAACGTTGCAATTATTGGTGATCGGATTAAGATTACAAAAATTTTGATCATTTTGTAAACTGAGGATTGGTTTAAACAGTTCACACATGAATAATTCTTCATGAAGCAAGCATGTATTTAGCTCATGAATGGTTGGTATGAAATAAGCGTCCTTTCTTAAATTTACTGCAACATAATCAGATACTGGTATTACTGTTATCATACTCTGGTTGTTTTCGTGCGGAACTGGTAGTATCTTATACAATTGAAAATTTTCTCTTGAAATAAGAGGAAATGTTATTTCAAAAATTATGTAAGTCTCCGTGACTCTTGCTTTGATTTTCAATAGCTTGTAAATGTGTTGAAGGTCAGTTTCGAGGTTCTCAATAGGCAAAGTCAGATCTTTGGGCATTTGCCCATAAATAATTTGCAATTCTCTTTTAATTTGTGCTGGTGTTAGAATATGTAAGCTGATTTGGCCATGGTGTATTTCAGAAATGGTATCGATTAAGGTTTCTTGGATTCTCTTGAGGTTGTGCATTAGATTAATGGTAGCGATGGATACAAAGGTGAAGTCTTGGTGTATAGTCATCACATCAATTTCTTTTTGTATATTACTGGTCGCAAAATCTAAATTATGTAGATGTTTGTTTATAATTTTGTGCTGTTTTTCTATCATATTTTCTGTTCGTTGTAAAATGTTATGTTCCGCTTCAACTATAGACGTTTGGTTCTTCCATAACTGAGCCAGGTGGTTTTGATTACGGTGTACAAGTTCAATGTCCTGTTTGTATTTTTCTGCGAAACTCTCGTCTAATACGCCAAACAATGAGTTAGCAATTGAACCGACTGCGTTGATAAGACCGCGTCGGGTTCGATTGCGAGTATTATAATGCTGACTAAGTAACAGCTGGTTGTAATATTGTAATTCATTGTAATCGTGACGTATTTGTAGTAGGATCATATGACAGTGACTCGGTTCCTTGATGGTTTCGCACGTTTTTTCGAGATAATTGGTGAAATCTTTAATCGCCTTCTCTCCTTGCCAATATGGGGACATATCGTAGAAGGTGACAAGTTTCCAGTTATCTCGAATCAATTGTATTTTTCCCAGTGGGTCAAAATACAAGGTTTGGTTGCTGTTTAGTTGTTTGTAAGTAAAGGATGCAGTGGTCGGTGATATGATATTAAGGAACATTAACAACGCCAGTGCTATGTTCACTATCCTCGGATGAGTTGATGAGTCAGTGTGTCGTCTACTTCTTTCTTCTGGTTGAACATTTTCCGTCTCTGGTGTTATTGTTTTGGGTTCTACTTGAGGTTCTATCGGTAAAACCGAAAGCTTCACTATAGGCCGCTTGACATATCCGTTTTTGGTTTTTAAGGTAACTACTCTTACTAGGTCATCATTTCCGGGGTGTACTTCGGTTATACGGCCGACTGGCCACTTCCCAGCTGGTAAATTATCTTCCATTATAATGACCACATCTCCCACCTTAACGTTTTTCTGGTACTTAAACCATTTATTTCTGGCAGACAATTGTGTTAAGTATTCGCGTTTCCATTTCTTCCATAAATCTTCGTATAATTTGGTTACTAATTGCCACCTGGTTCTGGCATCTTCTGCTGTCTCTATCACAGTCACGCCTGGTCGTGTTGTTAAAAAATGGGCTGGTGTTAGGAAATCGAGGTCTTCAGGATCTTCTGTAAGCGCACAGAGTGGACGAGAGTTAAGACATGCCTCCAGCTTTGCCAAAAGTGTGCAATATTCCTCGAAGGTGAGCTTTTGATGGCCGATAACACGCTTGAGGTGGTGCTTAAGGCTTCGTACGGCTCTTTCCCAAAGTCCTCCCGCGTGTGGACACGACGGTGCGTTGAAGTGCCATTCAATTTGAAGTTCGGTAATCTCTTTGTAGAAGCTTTCGTTAAATGTTTGTTGAAGACACTCGTACTCTTCTTGAAGTATTCGATTTGCTCCGACAAAGTTGGTACCATTGTCGGTATAGATATGACGTGGTGTTCCACGCCGCGCTGCCATCCTGTTAAGTGCAGCTAAGAAGGCCGAACTGGTGAGGTCGGATACAAGTTCCAAGTGCACAGCTTTTGTTGCCATGCACACGAAGATTGCAATGTATCCCTTAGTGGTTTTAATTCCTCGGCCTTTATTTGATTTGATTTCCACAAATCCGGTATAATCGATGCCGCAGTGGTGAAAGGGCATCGCAGGATTCACTCTGGGTGATGGTAAGTCGCCCATAAGTTGGTACTGTCGAATAGGTTGTTGTTTGTGGCATATAATGCATTGTCTTATAAACTTTTTAGTAGCCATATATCCGCTGATGATCCAATATTTTTGTCGAATATTAGATAATGTAAGGCGCGCTCCACCGTGGAAGGTTAATTCATGAGCTTGTTTTATTATTAATGTGGTAATTCTGTGATTATGTGGTAATATTATTGGATGTTTCATTTCAGGATTTATGTTAGCGTTTCTTAATCTACCACCTACCCTTATAATCCCATCTTGGTCTAAAATCGGGTTTAAATTTATAAGTTTACTTTTCGAATGCAATTTTCCTTTGTTTACTAAGGAAGTTATGTCCTCAGCAAATTCTATTTGTTGAACATTCCTGATAAATATAGTATT